CCCTGACCAGGAAGGGCAGCACCAGGAGGAAGGCCTGTGCATTATGACCCCTGGCCTGGTATGATTTCCATTACATTACTCTGCACAGTAGATAAGCTCATTCGGAAATACTCCAGGAAAACCAGATTTAAGATCTGAAACAGTGGTGCATACCTTTTCCACTTTCGAGTTCAGAGTCTAAGAGCAGAGCCATTGCTTTGAAAATATTTGTGGTATTAGATTGAAATGCCAAGGATACAGCGTGAGGATCAGGCCACAAATGGAAAAACAGGAGCTGTGAAAACAGCATCTGACATATTTGTGAGAGCCAGTGCATCTCTAGGCTCTGACAGAGGCAAGCTGACCGGCAACAGATGTGAGGCCCTGGGGGAAGAAGGATGGCAGTCCCCATGTAGGGACACAGTGGATCTGGGAGGAGAAAAGAGACGTAGAGACCAGGCATGCTTGAGAGCTAAAACAAGTGCCCTGGCCAGTATGGGTTAGTGGTTAGAGCATTGGCCTGTGCACCAAGGGGTCGTGGGTTTGATTCCTGGTCAAGGGCACATACCCAGGATGCAGGTTTGATCCCCAGCCCCAGTCAGGGCACGTTTGGGAGGCAACTAATTGATGTCTCTCTCTCTCTCCCTCCCTCCCCCTCCACTCTCCCCGAACGTGAGGATTAACAAAAAAAGGGAGAGAAAGAAAAAAAACCAAACTACCAAACTGAGACCAAGGAGGGAAGTTGGAGAAGTTTAAAGGTCCTGGACAAGAAGGCAGAGTGGGCTTGATATTTGAGAACAAACCCTCAGATAAGGGGAAAAGGGCTGAAGAAAAAACACAAGTCTCTTAGAGGAAAGGGCCCTGGACAAGCAAATGGCATCTGAGAGGGTGATGTACAGCTGGTGAAGGCCATGGGGATGAGGCGGGTGAAGATCACGGGCCCTGAGGGAACAGAGCAAGATGCAAGGGCGAGTGGAGAGAACAAAGTGCTAAGTGAATTTGAAAGGCATGTTCAGGAGCTTAGAGAGAGACCTCCGAGTCTGCTCAGTATTTGCAGCCAGAATCTTGGCTAAGAAACCTTCGCCTCTTTCATCACCACCCCCAAGTCTTCTGGGGCACTATTTCCTGCATTCCCACTGCCCCCTGGGCTGTGCTCCCACGGTTCATCCCCCCGGGTGCACGTCTGTCCCATCCCCATTGCCTCATGCAAATGCATCATTGACATTGCTGCTGGATGTGCTGCCACCCTGCGTCCCCCAAATCCCCACACGGCACCACCCCCCATTCCAACCTCCCGGCTGGAACACCCCCAGCTCATCATCTGTGGATTCCTTGGGCCCTTAGAATGTCCTTCAAATGTATGATTCTTGGCCCCTGTGAGACGCCACCAGATTGTGAGTGCTCTGAACCACGTCTTACTCATCTTGTGCAGTGTCCCGGACCTCAGAGACAGGCGTTTAGAGGTTAACAATAGCAGTGTGTCAATTCTGCCAAAATGGCAATAGTCGGTAGTAGTTAGTAGTCTGTGAATGACCGAAGGCCAGCACTGAAACAATCGAGTTGAAAATCTTACTCTCCTTGCGCCCTCTTGTGGAGAAGAGGGCAAAGAACATTCAGGTCTTTCCTTGCCGCCTCCTCTGAATATAGCTATAATACAAAAGTAATCTGTCAAAGTATAGTTACATTAACTATATATTATCCTATATTTAACTTTAATTTAATATCATTCTATTTATATAATGTAGTTGTACTTAACTATAGATATACTACAATATTAATTATCTTTACCATATTATGGTTTATGATTTTGTAAATACTGCTCACAGATGAACCAGAAAGTATTGTATAATCATATTCTCTTTCTGGTAACATCCTTGTGTGTTTTTGCTCCTGGAAATTCATTACATTGCTTCATTTTTTATTTGCTTAGTTTTCTAGGTACTTATCAAAATTAATGCCAAAACTCTGCTGAATCTCTAATGTCCTCTCAATATTGTTAAACAAATCTGGAATCTTCGACACTACTTTTAAAAATTATTGGAGCTACCTTCAGTGCTACCAGTCAAAACGGGACTGATGATATACTCCCTCATTGGCTGCACAGCTGTCATCCTAAAGTTTGATACTATCTTGCATTTTCAGTCTGTGATGAATAGAAGTTCTGAATTTTAGTAAGTCAAATTAGCATTTCCCCCCTTTGTGGTTAATGTTTTTAGTGTCCTATTTTTAAAAACCTCTCCCTATCCCAGTATCTTGAAGATGTTTTCCTACATTATATTCCCAAATCTTTATTGTTTTGCTTTGCACATTGACTTGGAAATAATTTTTGTGTGGTGTGAGGTCTGGATAAAATTTTACCTTTTTCTATATAGATATTTAATTGATCTAACATCACTTATTGAAAAGACCATCTCTCATGACTATTCTGCAGTGCTGTGTGTGTCACTCATCAAGTATATGTGAATCTACTCTGGGCCCTCTAATCTCTTCCACTGATGTGTTTATTTATCCTTATATAAATACCACACTGTTTTAGTTACTGCAGACTTTTAATACATCTTGATAGCCAAAGAGCAAGCCCTACTACCTAATTCATCTTTAAATTTGATAAAGAACTGTCATTTTTACAATATCAGGCCTTCTAATCCATAAAAATAGGGTGTCACTCCCATTTATTTAGGTCTTCCTTAATTTTTCTCAATAATTGTTTGATTCCTGAATAATTTTTTCTATAAACGTAATTTTATAGACTCAATTGGATTTTTTAAATTGTGGCAAAATATCTGTTTTATTTTCTTTATTTATGATTAATCAGATTCATGTTCAAAATTGTTAGTTCAGTTTTAAATGCCATGGAGGACTGAAATTTATAATTGTATCAAAAGGCTTCCTCTCCACTCCCAGACACATTTATCATCAGCCTTTAATTTTAATTGCTTCCTTGTTAGAACTCAGAACTCTAATTCTTATGGAAAATATGGGTGTAGCCAAAGTCTATTCCTGGGAGTCACTAATGTCCTTTATTAAGAAATTGGTTGTGAAATCATAAACTCAAACTTTTTTTAGGGGAGGGAGAAGGGAAAGAGAGAGAGAGGGAGAGAGCGAGAGGGAAACATCGATGTGTGTGGACTGGTTGCCTCTTGCAACGCACCCCAACTGGGCCAGGGATTGAACCTGCAACTGAGGTGCGTGCCCTTGACCCTCACCCTTCGGTCCTAAGGCCAGTGCTCTAACCACTGAGCCACCGACCAGGGCTTAAACTCAAACTTTTGAAGCTAAGCTGCCCCGACTATGCTTAGCGTGCTATCCGCCAAAGGAAGACAAGGGACAAAGATCTAAGTCAGCCCCTTGATGAACAGAAACTTTCCAGATACCCATTGATTAACCCCCTGCCCCAACCTGTGTCTGTCAAAATCCAAGTTGTGCAGTTGGGAATTTCCACACACTTTTTCTTCCAAAAATATTATTTCATAATATTTCTCAAATAGGCCTATATTGAATTCCCTCGAATTTTATTTCACACACACTATGAATAACAAATTATTTAAATTTTGTCTATTGACAGATTTTCGGTTCTCAGGACTCACGCGGCCTTTTGTTTTTAGAGGGGCTGGTTATGCACTGGGGAGGGTTGTTTTTGTATTCCTTTCTGGGTTCGGAGTCTCTAAAGAAATGAGGGGCCCTTAGGTTCTCTCGGGGAAGCTGGGCGCCGGTGGGCAAGCCTGCTCCCCCACGCGGCAGCTCGGGAGCGGGAGGCACCGCAGGGGTGCGGCGCGGCGAACCCCGAGTCCGCCCTCTCCGCCGCCGCGGGCAACTCACGGAGCCCCCGGCGTGATTTCCCGTGAAACGGCAATAGCCTCGCTGGGTGACTGACTGAAAGAGTCAGGTTCGTGACGTAAAGTGAAAGAACTCTGAGAAACAGCAACGCTGGTTTACGTGAACCGGGACGCGGCAGCTGAGGGCCCACCGTCGAGCTGCCTCCTTCCCGCAGCTCCCGCGGCGCCTCTGGGAGCGCGGCGCTGCGCGCGTCGTCTCCAAGGCAACCCCAC